TGGGGGAGCGCCGGCGGATGGGGAACGAGCGACACCAGCGGCTGGGGCGTCGCAACCGGCGGATGGGGCGCAGCAACAGGCGCATACATCGGCGGATGGGGCGCCGCACAAGGCGGCGAGACGAGCGGCTGGGGAGCTTTCCGCGAGGATCAAAGGGGGGAAGAGGAAGAAGAACCTGCGCATGCCGACGTCGAACCTCTCGTTGTTCCTCTCGGACGACCTCCGCGCCGCCCTGCGTTAGGACCACCGCCGCCTGACATCCCTTCAGGTAGTGACCCCTGGGACACCATTGACTGGGGAAGTGAACCACTCACCCCGTGACGCACTGTCTACGGACCTGCCCCTGAACCACGCGAACCGGCGTTCGTACTTGGCACGATCCCCGGAACCAACATCCCCTACTCCATCATCCGCGACACAGAATTTCTCGCCCTCATGCTAACAACGGCGAACGAGGAAGAAGAAGAGAACGGGGGAACAGCGCCTACACCTGCACCGGCACCTGACGAAGACCCCGCAGCCGCACTGGAGCGCTACATGCGCACATCTGGATTCCGCGCCGACGACGCCATCTGGCATCAGCGCCTATGTCACCCTTCGCGCGTGACCCTGAAGAATTGCATCGAAGCCGACGTCTTTGCACCTGGCGCGCTGTTGCGCCCTGACGACTCCGAAGTGAGAGGAGGGACTCACCCGCGCAGCTGCACTGTCTGCCCCGAAGCTGCGCTGATTCACCAGCCCTTCCCCCTACTCGAGCCAGGAACCAATCGCTACGCCAAGCTTGAGAAGGTTTACAGTGACTTTCTCAACGTAGGACACTGCGGCATCAACGACGAACTCTACACACTCACCTTCGTCGACGCCGGAACGCGCCACGTGTGGGTCGTAAACGTGGAAGCGCGTAGCAGAGCCTACGAAGCATTCCGTCTGTGGCTGGCGCACGCGCAGCGGCAATCTGGGGAGAAATTGAAGATTTGGCAGTCCGATGGTGCGGCGGAGTTCAGGAGCAAGGAACTGCAGGATTACCTCGCGCAAAAGGGGATCGAGCATCACATCTCCCTCCCCTACGCGCACCAGCAGCAGGGCGTAGCGGAGCGCACGAATCGCACCCTCATGACGAAGGTACGGGCGCTAATGCGGCAGGCAAAGCTCCCGCCGATCTACTGGACCTACGCGATGCACCATGCCGTGCGGGTGCACAACCTGCTATCAACCACCGCAATCACTGGCAATTAATCGCCGCACGTGAAATGGACGGGAAGAAAGGGGGACACCTCCATGCTCCGCGTCTGGGGCTGCATGGTTCAATACCGACCGCCAACATCAACCATCGGGAAGTTCAAAAGCCGCGCGCGCTGGGGAATCCATCTCGGTATCAGCCACGAACACAAGGCGTGGATCATCCTGGATCTCCTAAGCCAGAAAATCAAGAATGCGCGCGATGTCATCTTCTACGAGCGACTGTTTCTGCAACAATTTCGTGACGACGAGCAGACGAATGCAAACCGCGTCTACGCCAACGAGGGCCACAGCTACGCCTCACCTGAGGACGAAGCAGCAGCAGCAATTCTGGAGCAGGATCCCAGAGGCGAGTTCACAAGGGGCGATCGCCGCGACGACGACGACGACGATGACGATGATTCAGGTGAAGGAGGAACAGGCGCAACAGGAGGAGGCGCAGCAGGAGGAAGCAGAAGCGGCGGAGACACAGCACCGCCTGAACCAGAAAGCGATGATGACGACGTGCAGGAAGTCGTCACTCAACATCGCCACGACAGCACTGTCACCGGTCTCCAGCTACTCGGACTACACGCTGCCATCTCCACTGCTCCGCGCATCATCGAACCTAAGAACCCACGGCAAGCTCTCACAGGCACACACAGCAAGGAGTGGCGCGAAGCAATGGATGCGGAAATCCGGGCACTCGAGTCGCGCGACACCTGGGTGCTCGTCGACCGTGCAGCAATAAAGGGGAGAAGGATTCTCTCCGGCAAATGGGTCTTCCGAGTGAAGACAGGAGCCGACGGAAGGATTGAGCGATTCAAGGCACGCTGGGTGGTGCGCGGCTACGATCAAAGGCACGGGATTGATTTTGACCAGACATTCGCACCGGTCAGCCGTCACACGCCCGTCAGAATTCTCCTCGCCATCGCAGCCGCACGACACCTACCACTCCGGCAGATCGATGTGAAGAATGCGTTCCTGTACGCATTAGTGGACGCCGTGATCTACGTGGAACAGCCACACACTTACGGCGGCGGAGACCCACGCGTCTGTCAGCTACGCAAGTCCCTCTATGGGATCAAACAGGCACCGAGACTCTGGCAGTAGTACCTGCACAACATACTGCTTGAAATCGGGTTCAAGCAGCTGCCTCACGATCCTGGAATGTATCGCCGCGATTTCCACGGCGAATACATCCTCCTCACGGTCTACGTCGACGACCTTCTCTACACAGGCTCAAGCAACGAACTGCTCGAGCAATTTGAGAGAAGCCTCGCAGGGCGCGTCGACATCACCTGCAATCATGACGTGAAGCAGTTTCTCGGACTCAACATCACCTACTCGCCGGAAGCCATTCATCTCTCAGCAGCGAAGTATGCGGAGGAGCTTAGCAAGCGCTTCAACATTGCGCCTGCACCACTCTCCACCCCTTACCGCACTCCAGGACCCAACCACAAGCCTGACAACAAAGCCCTGTCCCCTGCTGGGCTTCACACTTACCAGCAGCAGTTGGGATGCCTGCTTTTCGCATCTGTTACCTGCAGGCCCGACCTCTCCTACATTGCGAGCCAGTTGGCTCAGTACTCACGCAAACCAACGGCTGAGAATCTCTCAGATCTTCAGCGAGCCCTTCAATTCTTCATCTCCACGCCCAATGTCGGGCTCAGTTATTCCACCATCCCAACCACATCCTTCAGCCTCGTCGGCTACGTGGATGCCGATCACGCCGCTGACCCTGACAATCGACGGTCCAGGACAGGGTTCCACTTCCGCCTCGAGCCCAGCGGCCCCATCTCCTGGAACTCTCAGAAGCAGGAGTTGGTTGCCCTGTCATCGGCGGAAGCTGAATTTATCGCAGCAACAGCAGCTGTTCGCGAAGGTCTCTACCTTCAGGAACTGCTGCAGGAAGCAAAAATTCCGGCCTCAACGAACTTTCGCCTGCACTGCGACAATCAGAGCGCGATCAGGATCGCGAACAAACCTGGTTTCGTCAACCGCACCAAGCACATCGCACTGCGGTACTTCTTCGTCAAGGACGAAGTTGACAAAGGCAAAGTTGACCTGACATACTGCCCAACGGGTGACATGGCAGCAGACTTCCTCACGAAGAGACTGCCGCGTCAGCAGTACCAGCACTGCTCCGAACTCAGCGGGGTAGTCAAGCGGGTCAATGCTCGCTACGGCCAGGAGTGAAGGGGGGTGTTACGAATAGTAGTTAATGAAAAACACTGTTGCGCACTCCTCACCGTAGTAAAGCCGAAGCACGCACTATCGAGAGTGAAGACGAAAAGCCAGAAGAAAGTCGAAGGGACAGACGGTTACGAGGAGCATCTGGACCGTCGGGCAGACAGCATCAGGCAGCAGCAGGCCCTCAGATTCACTTTTAGGGACGTTGATGCATCAGGGTCCCTGTGAAAAAAAGCCTGAATTTTCAGGGTTCCTAAAAAAAAAAGCCTGAATTTGTTCCGGAAAACAAGAGCCTGAATTTTCAATTACATCATGCAATTGTGCAAGAGAGTAGCCTTTAAAGCGACGGTGCACATTTGCCACCCAAAACCCAGAACCCTGGCGAACTGTTACTGCGGATGGAAAGTGTCCGCACGAAATCCTGGTTTTCGCCAGCCAGCACTTTCGCGCTGGCAAGCCTGGTTAAAAAAAAAAACTTCTGAACCCAACACTGCCAAAAGTTGCCCGTCGCTTTAAGAACATGGTGGTAGAGGGATTCGAACCGGAAACCTTATCAATCGGTATCTACTTCGCTAACCACTAAGCCAGTTCATGGAGTCGACGATCGGTATTTTTTACATAAGATTTTATGATGCGGAAATGTTGGTTGACTTATTGTCTCGGGTGTTTTACGGGAAGGATTCGGAATGTGCATTCAGTGTACACTTCGATAAAAGTCTGAAACATCAGTGTTAGCTATGAAGTAAAGGCTGAAAAAATCAGTGTCACAAAAATCTCAACACTGAAAATTCAGTGTAGGTACACAAAACTAGGCTGAAAATCAGGAATTTCAGGGAAAAATTCCTGATATCGTAGGGCCTGGGCAGCAGCAGTGGCTTCTGCCCGAACAGTTACGTAACCACTCGGAGTCGCACGGTTGGATTTCGATGCAATAAGGGAATGTACCCCTTAGAGTACATGGCTAGTTAGGTCGTTTCGAATTCCCCTGTACTCATATTTATATTCCTTGTACTGCACGTGTTTATTATCTCAAAGCATTTTACATTCACTCTGCTATTGAGTTCAAGGGCCCACCAACATCACTTCTCTGCGTGCGAACCATCCTGAGGTGATCCTGGTTACAATCACTTTCTGATTTTAGCAAAATCAAACAGTCAGAAAATATGACCTTGGAGCGTGCCACCACCTACATCAAGAGAGGCAGATGAGCAACATCCACCATCCCCACACCTCCTGTTGCTGGCCTCTCTCACCTATACCATCAACCAATCGCACCTGTTTAAGTTTAACCCTTTCTGCAGCCCTTCCACCAGCAACATTACTTTCCCTTCGAGCAGCCAAGGACACTACCACCGCCTCCCTCTCCTCCGTTGCACATGCGTGGCTTGAAGCCTTCTTTCACTGCCTGCTCAGCCATCCTGTGCTTCCAGCCTCGCCGTAACAAGGTTAGTCAGTCTGCATGTGCACGGCCTGCAGTAGCCATACCATCAATCACACATCTGCTTGTGAATGCTACTCTGGCACCGCTGTGTGCACGCCACGCTGCGCCTCGCCACGCACTCCATGCCAAACATGCCGTCATCTTGGGATCATCGGATGCGGGGCAGCAGCAGGAAGCCATCGAAGCCAGGGTGCCGGCCTGCTGTGCTGCGCACCGACCGCCTTCCTCTACCCGCCCCTCCCTCCACCACCCCGCCTCCCCTGCTCCCACCTTCTGCACCACCTGCTGCACCCTCTCGCCCCAAACTCTCACTCTCACTCGCTCTGCCATGCTGCCACACACTGCCAACTGTCACACCCTCTGCTGCCGCTGCTGTTGCGCTTTCATGTGGCCGAGGGCTCATCTTCCCCTGGCCTGCTGTTGCGCTTTCATGTGGCCGAGGGCTCATCTTCCCCTGGCCTGCTGTGCGTGTGCCTGGCATGCCACTCTCAATCGCCCGCACCCTGTCTCCACTTCTCTTATCTTGGCTATCTCCCCTGCCTTTCCTCCTCTGACCCTCACCGCCCTTCCCTTCTAGGCAGCAAGCCTTTTCTGCTGAGCTAGCAACCTTGGCTGCTGAGCTGGCAACCTTGGCGGTCGAGCTGGCAGTCATACCAGTAGAGGGGACAGTGGTACCAACAGAGCAGGCAGCAGTGCCAGCTGCTGTGCCAGCAGCAGCTGCTGCAGCAGTGGAGCCAACAGCGCAGTGAGCAGGTGCGTTGGGAGGAGCAGGAGGGTGTGTGGCAGCAAGAGCTCAAGGTGGCTCGGCCGTGCTGACAGCACCTGCCTTGGGTCGGTCGCTGCGCCGCTTCTTGAGGACCGGGAAGGAGAGAGCGGGCTGCTTGAGGGGCAATGTTGAGAGTTTGGAGATGCGGTCTGCAGTGGTACCGGCGGTGGCACTTGTGGTGGCACCTGTGGTGGCAGCTGCGGTGGTAGCTGTGGCGGCAGCTGTGGTGGCAGCAGTGGTGGCAGCTGTGGTGGCAGCTGTGGTGGCAGCTGTGGTGGCAGCTGTGGTGGCAGCTGTGGTGGCAGTTGTGGTGGCAGCTGTGGTGGCAGCTGTGGTGGTAGCTGTGGTGGCAGCTGTGGCGGCAGCTGTGGTGGTAGCTGTGGTAATAGCTGTGGTGGTAGCTTTGGTGGCAGGGCATGATACCTGTGATGTGTCTCCACGGCTCGCGAGTGTATCATCTTGAGGCGCTCTTGCTGTTGCTCGTATGCTTGCTGTGGTTGTTCGTGTGGATCCTGTTGCGGTTACTCCATTGCTTCCTGCTGTGCTTCCTGCTGCTGCAGCGACGGCGGCTAACTCAGCTGATAGCAGCACAGCAGCTTGTTCTTCTGCTGCTGCCTTGCTGCGCTGCACCCCACCAGCACTTCCCGCACTGCCAGCACACCCATCCCCATCGCCATCTCCATCGCTGCTGTCTCCCGCCCTCACCTCACCGCCTCCCCCACCACTCCCCTCCCCTCCCTCTCTCCTCCTCTTCCTCACGGACCTGCTCCTCTTCCCACTCACTCTCACGCCTGCCCCTGCCTCACCCCCTGGGGTAGGCGGGCAGGCAGCTGGCGATGCCAGCGGTGCAGGCAGAGGAGCAGCAGCAGGGGAGGTGGCCGGGGGGGCAGGGAGTGAAGGGGAGAGAGGGCGAGAGGCCATGTGGGATGGATCGGTGGGTTGAGGAAGGGAGGAGCAGGCAGGCAGAAGCGGTGAGGCGATGCAGGAGGCGGGGGCAGGCTCGTATGTTACAGTCGGGCCACGGGGGCAGGTTGTAGCACAAGCAGGCACGGCCATGCAGCTGCCTCCTTGCAGGGCCGCTGCGTGCAGGGCGCGAGGGCTCCTCTTGCCCTTGGTGGCTGCGGCCGTGGCACCAGCGCCAGCTGAGGCAACTGTGGCAGCGGTAGCGACAGCGGTGGCAGCGGAGGCAGTACCACTGGTCGCCACACTGCATGCAGCCCTGGGAGCAACACTCACACTCGCTTCTGCTGCACCCCCAACAGCCACTGCTCCTGCTCTCCCCTTACCCACACGCACTGCCTTGCCTTCCCCGCCTGCTGCCAGCTTCCGCTTGGCACTGCGAGAGCCTTTCAGCCCGGACGCCTTCAGTTCCGAGGCAGCACCTGCGGTGCCGATTCCCCCACGTGCTGTCGCAACTGCTTTGCCTGACGGCGCTACAGTTTTTGCTACAGCCAGAGGCGTCGCTGTGCGTGCGGGAGAGGGTGCGGTGAGCAGCGATGCAGTGGGTGGTGCGGTGGGAGGAGGCGATTGAGTGGCAGGAGGAGTAGTTGCAGCGGTATCAGCCTTGAGGCGCGATGCCAGGCGGGCCACAGCGCGGCGCAGGGTCTGATAGTGGCGCGGGGTGGCAGGGAGAGGAGGGACAGGGAAGGGAGATAAGGTGAATGCAGCAAGAGGTGAATAGTCAGCAGCACTTGATCAGCATTCTCCATGACGACAACAGCAGGTTCGCTGCTCACCTTGATCTCTGGGCGCAGGTCCACAGGCAGGGCAGAGGCGTGGCTGATGAGCGCGCGCAGATGTGACAGACGCTGGGCGGCCTGGCGCTCTGACAGCTGTGACTGAGATGAGAGTGCCTTGCTGAAGCAAGACAGCCACTCAGAACGGCATCAGTTGTGCCTACTGTGTGCGAGCCCTGGAGGACAGACAAGGGAGGGGAGGGGTGAAGGAGGAGGATTGAGAGATGGAAGAAGGTGGGACAGAAAAAGACTCTTGGCATGCACTCAGAGAGTATAATGGAGCGAAGAGAGCAACGGAAAGACAAGAGAAGTGGGGTTGGAGACACTAAGATCTGCTCGTTACACAGTATCGCCGTAAGTGCAATTCTGTTTGTATAAGCCACTATCTCACCGTCTGCACCAGCTGTGCCAGGGTGGAAGGTCGGGGCCGTGGGCGGCCAATGAGAGCGCTACACGTGGCAGCCCTCCAGCAGTGGGCGGCCACTGCCCTCTGCATCACCGCCAGCGTGCCGCCCGCCCGACTTCCTCAGCACCAAGGTAGTCGACAGCGGCAGCAGAGGCGACCGAGGGGAGAAGGGGGGGAGGGGAACACCCGTCAAAGAAGGGCGTGCGGGGGTCGCCACAAGAGGCACCTACAGCAACTATGCTAGCCTCAGCTGCAAGCAGATGCTTCTCGAGCAGGTCAACGGTGAGCTCGGTGGGGCAGAGGGCGAGAAAGTGGTCCCTGACTGCGCGAAGAGAGTCAGGGAGACGGGTGACTAGGTGGTAGAGAACGAGGTACATCGGGGGCGGATTCTTGGCGAGGAACTCAGCAGGAAGGGCGGCTCGGTAGCGAGTGTCACTAGTGCGGAGGTGTGTAATGAGGTCAGCGACTGTGGGAAAGGCGGCCAAATCGGGGAAGAGATAGGGCAGCGAGAGACGGCCGATCGTAGCAGAGGCAGGCGAGGAGTAGCGCGCGACTACTGCATCGTACAGTGCCTTAGCAGTCTTGTGCTGGCCAAAATGCGCGCGCTAATCTAACGGCCGGTGACTGCAAATGGCTAGGCGAGCGTGAGCGTCACGAGTCTGCCACTGGGAGCGAGCTGTACTGTCAGCAGTCTCTACAAGTGCTAGAGCGGTTCCGGACGCGTGATCATACAGTGAGACATCGTCCTTGGCAGTGATCTGTAGGAACAGGTGGAGGTCGTCGAGTCAAGCATCAATCTGAATCGGACGGCCCTCAGCATCGAAAGAGAGGACGGTGGGACTAGCCATAGTGGCAGCAGTAGCAGTAGCAGCAGTAGCAGTAGCAGCAGTAGCAGTAGGAACAGAAGCAGTAGGAGCGGGCGGAACAGCAGTAGCAGTAGGGCAGCGCGGCTCGGACAGGGCGGCGCGGCACGGTTCGGGCAGGGCGGCTCGGCGCGGCTCGGGCAGGGCGGCGCGGCGCGGCTCGGACAGGGCTATGCGGCGCGGCTCGGACGGGCAGGGCGGCGCTACGGTGGGCCTGCGCGTGGGCTGCTGTTGCGTACGGGCCGCGGCTGCGCGTGGGCTGCAGTCGCGCGCGGGCAGCGAGCTACGCGCTGGCTGCAGCGGCCGGTGCGCAAGCAGCTGCGACGCGCGGGCTGCGCGCGGGGCCGCACGAGGACGGCGCAGGCTGCGCGCGGGCGGTGCTGGTCGTGCGTGGGCGGTTAACGGCCTACGCACGCTAGAAACGGGCCGCGCGCGGGCGGCTAGCGGGCTGCACGCGCTAAAAACGGGCCGCGCGCGGGCGGCTAGCGAGCTGCGCACGGGCAGCGTGAGAGAGAGAGGCGCGCGAGGGCGCACTAGCAGAGAGGCGCACGAGGGCGCGAAAGTGGTAGGGCGCTCGAGGGCGCTTCTAGCAGAACGGTGGGCCCTTAGGACTAAGCGGTCCTAGGTTCCTAACCTAGGCTCGTAATACCATGTCCAGAATGAACAAGATTGTTTGCACTAGGAAAGAGGTGGGTACAAGTAGGAAACCCTAAACTTACTGTACCCCATAGTAACTACCCCACTACAGCCTAAACCAACTGTAGCAGATATAACATTTGACACGCGTCCAGTCAGAATGAGCCGTCACGCCTGTGAAGTGACGTGCCAAAGCTCTGTGCACAGTCAGAGAATGCCCTCGCGCGATTCTGATTCAGGAACCTGTAGGATTTCGATTCGTTAGAATTTACGAGACTGAAATAGATTTTGGTGTGTTTAAATTGTATTTCTTTTTATATAAGCACCGGCGCTTATGGCCGTTACTCAATTACAAGACCCCCCTTAAAAAAATGAGTGTATTATAAGCGCATATGCGCTACTATCTGGGGCCAGACTATACATGATATGTGTTTCGGCCAGGCAAGATACTAAAACCTAGTGTAACCATATGAAGCAGCCTGTGAACGCAAGAATCACATCGAACTGAGGACACTCATGAGACTGGCTTAAATGTGAACCGTGACTAAACAACGACGCATGTTGTCAAACTTATATGCTATAGTCTGTGGGAGAAAGGCCCCGCCCTCGCTTGGGCGCAGCCGATCTCATTGTCGACGAGAAGTTCGCGACGGATTGGTCGACAAAATGGGCTTCTGCAGTTCGACGGAAGTTGCGGTCGAGCAGGCTGTGCTCGACAGAATCCGGTCAACGAGCTCTGCGTCTGGTCGACGATCTCTGCGCGAAGAGCTCCCGTCAAAGAGCGCTGGTCGACGATCCTGGTCGAAGAAATCTGGTCGAAGAGTTCGGGTCGATGAGCGCTGCTCGGCGAACGCTGTTCAACCGAGCGGTGTCCAAAAGATCGACCAAACTTGCAGAGGTGTGCGAAACTCTGAGGAGGTGTGCGAAACTTCGCCGAGAAGGTATTGGCGAAGTTTGACCTGCGGAATGGCAGCACGTGGTCGACGGTGCGCACCTGGCGAAACAGACAACATGTATTCTACCTGGCACCTACGCAATGTGCCTGACGGTGAAACCAAATATCACAGAAAATATTCCTCACGTTGCGTCTCAAGAAGAACGTTCCTCACATTGCATCACCCATCATTCATTCCCCTCTCCCCTGCCCCACTCAAACCACGAGTCACCTTTTTCTAACCCTTCAGCTCCCCTCCCTGCCTCACCCAAAGTACCTTGTAGCTTGCCTTACTCTTTCCACTCTCTTCCCTACCTCACTCAAAGGACTGTTTACCTTGCCTAACCCCTCCCAGACTTGTCCCACATGGCCTCACTCCTTTCCCTGCCCCACCAAACACTCCAATAAATCTCATGGTCTTCTGAACTACGAGGCTAAGTAGGATGGAATCGATATAGGAGAGAACTGCCTGATGAAAATGCCTGGTCTAGAAAGGTACGGGGGCAACTCAGCAGCAGTACGGGGTAAGAATATAGTTGAAGTAGGTAACTGATCCTATCACAACTTGTTAAAGCAGGTGAAATAAAGGCGGAATAATTCCAACTTGGATTATTATGCTATGATCCAAGCGATTTGATTCTCAAGCAGCCGAGCTCCATAATGCCCATATAGTCCAATTATTTTCAGTCGTGAAAGAACTACCACCCTTCCCCCTTTCTAAGCACACATTGTTCCCATACAAGTCAACCACCCAACGCCAAACAGCACCCCGAGCACATGCAAACAGCAACAATACCTTCCTTGGTTATCAACCACTGCCCTGCTCTACTTGCGTCCGAGATTTCCAAAGAAGTTTGTGGCCTTCTCGAACCCTTGCTTCACGTCGTCCGCTGCCTTCCTGGCACCTTCCCCACTTCTCAAACCCCTGCTTCACCTCATTCGCTGCCTTCTTGGTATCCTCCCACCCTTTCTCCAGCTTTTCCGCTTGCTTCTTTTTGTCTTTCACCATCCTATCCCATTCCTTCTTAGAATACTTCGAAAGCTCCTTTCCAACCTCAGCGATGGCTTTCATTTCACTCGGCCCGATCTTCACCTTGACCGCCTTCCCCTTGAGCATCCGTCGGATCTCCTGCATCAGTGGTAAGATGGACGCATCTTTGACTGCCACTGGGGAGGACAGGTCGTCCGCCGCCAAGACGCCAACATCCCGCGCAGGATCAGATTCGAATATCGGCGCTGTAGCGGAGACCACATGCGCGGCGGCAATGAGCACAGAGAGCACCAGTAAGAAAACGCGAAGCACGGCCATTGTAAGCAACCACCGGATTGGATTCGAAGGAAGCAGATGGAGTGGCCTCGCAAATGAATTGTGCGGAGCTAAATAGTGCCGCGAGCTGGGGCTGGTTTACTATTGGTTGGGTGCGGTCGATGCGATTATTCGTTGCTAGAGGCTATTGGCGCGACGCGAAATCTGCCGCTGGAAACGGGATGATTGGTCGAAGCGCGTTACTTGGTGATAGGCACTGAGCGTGTCTGGAAGTTTGCCGTCGTTCCTTGTCACTCACGCCATGGGCTAGCCCTAAGTGTTGAATTCACAGCCCAACTTCATTCTAGGACGCGTCACAATTGTCACAATCGACGGCGATCGATCGTGCCCATCACAGGTGGCGCGGCATCTGCGGGCTGCGTCTCCAATCGCATGGTCGATGCGTCATTTGACGCCATCTGACCTCGGCAATCGGAGGGATATCGATCGTGGCGAGGAGACTGGAGACACTAGACGGAAAAAAGAAACGAAACTATTCCCGAATTGACGAAGTTACTGCACACCCTGTACATCGCTCACAGGGTCGGTGTGACATTTGTTACACGTCCTTAGCACTTCAGGAGGCGCGAAAGTGACCGATATTTGGTTACCAGCGCGAAGCAAGCTGGTGCCAGACATGAGGCGCGGCGAGAAACGCGGTGGGCAGAAAGTCTCGCAATCATTGCAGGAGTGGTACAAATGTAGGCCCGTGAGTTGCGGAGACGTCAATAATGATAACAAATGTCTAGCGCTTACACTCCAGCTATCTCCTCAATAGGATTAGTCAAAGAAGAGTGTGCTAAATTGCAACGTCAAATAGGTGACAAGAAATTGAAGTCTGTAATCAATAAGGGTTCCCAAGTGTGCGCTTATTATTGAATTCCGGCCATAAGCGCAGTTCTTGAGATAGAATGGCATGCGCCTAACATAGGCCAGCGCTTATATCCGGGGCGGGGCCATACGGTACAGCAAACCTATTCATGATTCATTAGTAAATATAGTCACTTATAGTAAGCGCACACACACACACGCCGCCTGAACAAGCAGCCCCAGGGTTTGTACTGTCATGACTCACTATGTGCATGGAGAAATTAGTGGGTTAGTGTCAAATCAAACAGTCAGAAAATATGACCTTGGAGCGTGCCACCACCTACATCAAGAGAGGCAGATGAGCAACATCCACCATCCCCACACCTCCTGTTGCTGGCCTCTCTCACCTATACCATCAACCAATCGCACCTGTTTAAGTTTAACCCTTTCTGCAGCCCTTCCACCAGCAACATTACTTCCCCTTCGAGCAGCCAAGGACACTACCACCGCCTCCCTCTCCTCCGTTGCACATGCGTGGCTTGAAGCCTTCTTTCACTGCCTGCTCAGCCATCCTGTGCTTCCAGCCTCGCCGTAACAAGGTTAGTCAGTCTGCATGTGCACGGCCTGCAGTAGCCATACCATCAATCACACATCTGCTTGTGAATGCTACTCTGGCACCGCTGTGTGCACGCCACGCTGCGCCTCGCCACGCACTCCATGCCAAACATGCCGTCATCTTGGGATCATCGGATGCGGGGCAGCAGCAGGAAGCCATCGAAGCCAGGGTGCCGGCCTGCTGTGCTGCGCACCGACCGCCTTCCTCCACCCGCCCCTCCCTCCACCACCCCGCCTCCCCTGCTCCCACCTTCTGCACCACCTGCTGCACCCTCTCGCCCCAAACTCTCACTCTCACTCGCTCTGCCATGCTGCCACGCACTGCCAACTGTCACACCCTCTGCTGCCGCTGCTGTTGCGCTTTCATGTGGCCGAGGGCTCATCTTCCCCTGGCCTGCTGTTGCGCTTTCATGTGGCCGAGGGCTCATCTTCCCCTGGCCTGCTGTTGCGCTTTCATGTGGGCGAGGGCTCATCTTCCCCTGGCCTGCTGTTGCGCTTTCATGTGGCCGAGGGCTCATCTTCCCCTGGCCTGCTGTTGCGCTTTCATGTGGCCGAGGGCTCATCTTCCCCTGGCCTGCTGTTGCGCTTTCATGTGGCCGAGGGCTCATCTTCCCCTGGCCTGCTGTTGCGCTTTCATGTGGCCGAGGGCTCATCTTCCCCTGGCCTGCTGTGCGTGTGCCTGGCATGCCACTCTCAATCGCCCGCACCCTGTCTCCACTTCTCTTATCTTGGCTATCTCCCCTGCCTTTCCTCCTCTGACCCTCACCGCCCTTCCCTTCTAGGCAGCAAGCCTTTTCTGCTGAGCTAGCAACCTTGGCTGCTGAGCTGGCAACCTTGGCGGTCGAGCTGGCAGTCATACCAGTAGAGGGGACAGTGGTACCAACAGAGCAGGCAGCAGTGCCAGCTGCTGTGCCAGCAGCAGCTGCTGCAGCAGTGGAGCCAACAGCGCAGTGAGCAGGTGCGTTGGGAGGAGCAGGAGGGTGTGTGGCAGCAAGAGCTCAAGGTGGCTCGGCCGTGCTGACAGCACCTGCCTTGGGTCGGTCGCTGCGCCGCTTCTTGAGGACCGGGAAGGAGAGAGCGGGCTGCTTGAGGGGCAATGTTGAGAGTTTGGAGATGCGGTCTGCAGTGGTACCGGCGGTGGCACTTGTGGTGGCACCTGTGGTGGCAGCTGCGGTGGTAGCTGTGGCGGCAGCTGTGGTGGCAGCAGTGGTGGCAGCTGTGGTGGCAGCTGTGGTGGCAGCTGTGGTGGCAGCTGTGGTGGCAGCTGTGGTGGCAGTTGTGGTGGCAGCTGTGGTGGCAGCTGTGGTGGTAGCTGTGGTGGCAGCTGTGGCGGCAGCTGTGGTGGCAGCTGTGGTAATAGCTGTGGTGGTAGCTTTGGTGGCAGGGCAGGATACCTGTGATGTGTCTCCACGGCTCGCGAGTGTATCATCTTGAGGCGCTCTTGCTGTTGCTCGTATGCTTGCTGTGGTTGTTCGTGTGGATCCTGTTGCGGTTACTCCATTGCTTCCTGCTGTGCTTGCTGCTGCTGCAGCGACGGCGGCTAACTCAGCTGATAGCAGCACAGCAGCTTGTTCTTCTGCTGCTGCCTTGCTGCGCTGCACCCCACCAGCACTTCCCGCACTGCCAGCACACCCATCCCCATCCCCATCCCCATCCCCATCGCCATCGCCATCGCTGCTGTCTCCCGCCCTCACCTCACCGCCTCCCCCACCACTCCCCTCCCCTACCTCTCTCCTCCTCTTCCTCACGGACCTGCTCCTCTTCCCACTCACTCTCACGCCTGCCCCTGCCTCACCCCCTGGGGCAGGCGGGCAGGCATCTGGCGATGCCAGCGGTGCAGGCAGAGGAGCAGCAGCAGGGGAGGTGGCCGGGGGGGCAGGGAGTGAAGGGGAGAGAGGGCGAGAGGCCATGCGGGATGGATCGGTGGGTTGAGGAAGGGAGGAGCAGGCAGGCAGAAGCGGTGAGGCGATGCAGGAGGCGGGGGCAGGCTCGTATGTTACAGTCGGGCCACGGGGGCAGGTTGTAGCACAAGCAGGCACGGCCATGCAGCTGCCTCCTTGCAGGGCCGCTGCGTGCAGGGCGCGAGGGCTCCTCTTGCCCTTGGTGGCTGCGGCCGTGGCACCAGCGCCAGCTGAGGCAACTGTGGCAGCGGTAGCAGCAGCGACAGCGGTGGCAGCGGAGGCAGTACCACTGGTCGCCACACTGCATGCAGCCCTGGGAGCAACACTCACACTCGCTTCTGCTGCACCCCCAACAGCCACTGCTCCTGCTCTCCCCTTACCCACACGCACTGCCTTGCCTTCCCCGCCTGCTGCCAGCTTCCGCTTGGCACTGCGAGAGCCTTTCAGCCCGGACGCCTTCAGTTCCGAGGCAGCACCTGCGGTGCCGATTCCCCCACGTGCTGTCGCAGCTGCTTTGCCTGACGGCGCTACAGTTTTTGCTACAGCCAGAGGCGTCGCTGTGCGTGCGGGAGAGGGTGCGGTGAGCAGCGATGCAGTGGGTGGTGCGGTGGGAGGAGGCGATTGAGTGGCAGGAGGAGTAGTTGCAGCGGTATCAGCCTTGAGGCGCGATGCCAGGCGGGCCACAGCGCGGCGCAGGGTCTGATAGTGGCGCGGGGTGGCAGGGAGAGGAGGGACAGGGAAGGGAGATAAGGTGAATGCAGCAAGAGGTGAATAGTCAGCAGCACTTGATCAGCATTCTCCATGACGACAGCAGCAGGTTCGCTGCTCACCTTGATCTCTGGGCGCAGGTCCACAGGCAGGGCAGAGGCGTGGCTGATGAGCGCGCGCAGATGTGACAGACGCTGGGCGGCCTGGCGCTCTGACAGCTGTGACTGAGATGAGAGTGCCTTGCTGAAGCAAGACAGCCACTCAGAAGCTGCCTCGTGTCGCTGTTTGGCTTCCCCGAGAACGGCATCAGTTGTGCCTACTGTGTGCGAGCCCTGGAGGACAGACAGGGGAGGGGAGGGGTGAAGGACGAGGATTGAGAGATGGAAGAAGGTGGGACAGAAAAAGACTCTTGGCATGCACACAGAGAGTATAATGGAGCGAAGAGAGCAACGGAAAGACAAGAGAAGTGGGGTTGGAGACACTAAGATCTGCTCGTTACACAGTATCGCCGTAAGTGCAATTCTGTTTGTATAAGCCACTATCTCACCGTCTGCACCAGCTGTGCCAGGGTGGAAGGTCGGGGCCGTGGGCGGCCAATGAGAGCGCTACACGTGGCAGCCCTCCAGCAGTGGGCGGCCACTGCCCTCTGCATCACCGCCAGCGTGCCGCCCGCCTCAACAGAGCAGCCTGTCCCTGCCTCCGACACCGCCGCTGCCGCTGGCCCTGTCGGCACTGTTGGCCCTCCTCCACCATCCTTGGCGCTCTGCCCTGCCGACTGCTGCACCTCCTGTTGCCCTCCAGCCACCACTCCCACAGTCGCTGCCGCGGCAGCAGCTGCAGTGCCGGTGACATGCTTCGTGTGATCCCCTTGCACCAGATGCTGCTGCTGCTGCTGGCGTGTGGGCGGTGAGAGAACTGCATTCACGTGCAGCAGCCACGAGGCAAGAGGCTCTGCTGCCTGCGCTGCTATTGAATCTGGTGCCGCTGGTGTGGCAGCAGGGGCAGTGGAGGAGAGCGATGGCGGAGAGGCAAGTGGCATGTCGAGTGGAAGACAGGAGGCCACCTGCAGATGGGATGCGGATTGGGGGTTGAGAGTGAGTGACTGAAGGCCCGATCGCAAACAAAGATTTGACAAGTGGCAGGAGATGATATCATTTGAAATATAAAGATAAATACCTACTTGAGACAAAGGGTCAGCCATAACCTGAAACAATGCTGAAAAATCACCTGAAGCAGACAGCTGAGTATGGAGGGAGGCAGGGGTTCGGCATGACGTGGCAAGGACAGGGTGGTGGAGAGCGCTGATGTCAGCAAGTGAGAGCAACGCGTTGCTGATTGGACGAGTTGCTCCAAGCTGTGCACGGCTGCGATCCTGGTGGGGCCGAGCAGAGAGTGAGAGAGCGAACAGGGGGGGACATGCCGCACGATGCAAGAAGCAGGCTGGCTGAAATGTGCACCCTGCTCTGAGTCGAGAGAGGATGGGGTTCAGCTTGGCCGAGAGAGTGTGTGCGCATGGCAAACCGGGTGCAATGCGTGTGTGGTGGCGGGGGCACAAGCATACATCTGTGCAATGCGTGAATGCCATGTGCGGGAAAGTGCGCGTTGAAGTGAGCAAGAGCGTGCAAGCATGTGCACATGCGTGCATGTGTACACGTTTGGATGAGCGAGAGCGGTACCTGGGGTGGAGAGGGAGAGCGCGAGAGAGCAGGCCCACCAAGCACCGCAGCGACACGCGGGGCAGGCGACGAGGCTGCACAGCAGGAGGGCGTGAGGGACAGACGAGGGGGAGGGGGAGGGAGAAGCATGGAGAGGAGCGAGTGGAGGGAGCGAGTGGAGGGAGCGAGTGGAGGGAGCATGCACTCGCGCTGCTGGTGGCAAGTGAGGCGGATGCATGTGCAGGTGGAAGAGGGACGTGCAGGTGGAAGAGGGACGTGCAGGTGGAAGAGGGACGTGCAAGTGGAAGAGGGACGTGCAAGCGTGCTCCTGTGGTGGTATGGCATTTTAGCAGGAGCAGTGGGGCGGCAGGACGTACATGGAACAATGCTGAGACGGCAGGTGTGACGGCTGCTGAGGCGAGGGAGGAGCAGAACGGGCATGTGAAGGGACCCTGCTGCTGCTGCTGCTGCTGCTGCTGCTGCGGCGGCAACGGCTGCTGTTTCTCAGTGCTCTGGTCGTGCCGTTGCCGCTGCTGCGGCTGTGGGTGGCTGTCTCTGTCTGTACCTGGTGGAACTACCCCACCACCCGCCCCCCCACCCTGCTCTGCCCTTGCCTGCTGCTGCCCTGCTGCCTCTCGCTTCTGCTCTTGCGCCTTCTCCTGCTGCTGCTCGTCTTGAGCGGCGGAGGGGGCGGCAGCATGCAAGTATGAGAGACAGTCGGCGTGGAATCTGTGAGGGTGTAGAGTGAGGCAGGCAAGGGGAGGCGGTCGGAGGGAAGGCACACACAATGGAGGGAATGGGAATTGCAGCAGGCTCGCAATGAAGGAAAGGAAATATGCAGTGAGGGTGGGGGCAACCGTGGAGCAAGGAGGGGGGAGTATGCTTTATGATAAGATCCACATACCTCATGCTGCATCCGTCGCATATAAGTGCATCCTTCATGCCTTCGCCCTTCAATCCATATCCATTCTCTAACTTCTGCTCCTCCTCCTTTGCTTCACCCTTCTCCAAACGCACTGCTCCCATATTCCCTTCCCTATCGCCTCTTGCTTCTCCTGCCTTCTCTTCCCTCTTCTCCCATGACATCCCTGCGCCGCCTGCACCACTCTCTCGCCCAACAGCACCGCACACAACAGCAGCGGCTCTCCTCCCACCGCTGCGCTTTCCCCGAACCCGGACATCCCCACCGCCTCCTCCCGCCTGCCCGCCAACCACTGCCTGCCCGTCGCTGCCGCCAGAGAAACCAGCAGAAGCAGCACATGCAGGGTGGGCGTGGTGCAGCACCGCACACCAGCAAACGGTGTCGGACGAAGAGACGCTTCCAGCAACCGCCGCCGCAGCAGCACCAGGCGGAGCAGGTACAGGTGCCTCTGATGCCTCTGGCGCCCCTCGCACTGCTGCTGCTACTGCCGGTGCCACACCTGGTGCCGGCGCATGAGCTGGTGCTGTGGCTGTGGGGGCCGTGGCTGCGGGAGATGCGGCGGCAGCCACGGCATCTGCGGTGGCACCTACTGCACTGCCTGCCAGCACTGCGGGATGAGGAGCATTGGCTGACGCAGAGAAGGGTTGAGCCGGCAGAGCAGTGAGGTGTGAGAGGGCAGCGGTGCGGCGGGCCAGGGAGGAGATGCGATGAAGAGCTGCTTGCACGCTGCTGTGCATGTGCTTCAGCTTCCGCACCACCTCCTCCTCACACACCCGCCCCTTGCCCTCCCCGTGCAGCCCCTTACCCTCCCCTGGTGCCACACTCCCCTCCCCTTGTGCCCCCTCGCCTCCTCCTCTCGCCCCCTCGTCCCCTGAGCCCCCCCGGAGGGCAGCACAGCAGGCAACGAGCCAGTCGTCCAGCGCTGCCACTGCCTGCTGCACCTGCCGGGCCTCCCCGCTCGCCACCACGCTGCTGCTGCCGCGCACCTGGTGTGAGAGTGGGTGGGTGGGCCACAGGGGGAAACGAGGAGCGGTGGCTTGCTTGGGGCAACGTTAAAGAAGGGAGATTGTAGCTGACACTTTGGAGAATTGAAATGAGAGGATTGGATGGAGGGAGAGACGAGATGAGCTGGAGTGGGAATGGAGAAGGGCGCGTTGGAGGAAGAAGGGAGGGAGGGATGGAAGTTAAGGAACACAGCCGAGTGCACATTGCGGGAGGAGATGGAAGCACAGTATGAAACGTGAGATGCCACGCATATTCAGAGATATGGCTTGTGTGAGGCATACCTGGAGGCCCTTGAGGTGCGCAAGTGTTGTGGCAGGTGCACGGGGCAGCAGCGGAGGTGGTGAGGTGGGCGCAGGGAGGCGTGGGGCGAGCAGTTGCTGCACCTCGCTGACCCACTCCCTGGTAGGCAGGGCACATCCACGGAGGGGGGTGGGTGGGCACAAGGGTGTGTGTGTGTGCGCTAGGAGTGGAAGGCACAGCGGTGAGCAAGCACATAAGTGGGCAGCAGCACAGGGACCGAGAGCACAGGAAGAAACTGTGGTGGCCACTCCCTAAACCCCAGCATTGCACCACAACAAGAGACGTGCGTGGGAGAGGTGCAGGCGCTGACCTGTGGGAGGCGATGACGGTGCTGAGCTGGTGGCACTTGTCGTGCACACACACCTGCAAGGCCTGCACCAATAGCATGGCGTGGAGGGGCATGGGGGCCAACGAGAGGCAAGCAACAGATGGGAGGGCACACAGGTGGGGCCACCAGTCGCTACAACGGCTGCAGCAGAGGTGCCTCGAGCTGTGGCTAGTTCACATGGATAGATGGTACAAGGGCGCTGTACACAAAACAGAATAACCAGATTACTACAGATAGAACACACGCACATAACCCCCATTCACCCTAGCGCACAACCCTCACTTCACCCCTTGCTCCACTCCCCTCCCTCCATCTCTCTCACCATGCCACGTGCCACCATCGCCTCCACCTCCTGCACCTCACAGCTGGCAGGGCCACGTGTCAGCATCTCATTGGCCGCCTGCACCCACTGCCGTGCGTCCGCCAGGGCTGAGTGCAGCAGGGAGAGGCGCGCCGAGGGGGGCGGAGAGGGGGCGGATGCAGCAGGCTGAGCAAGGCCCTCGGATGGAGCTGCTGATGGTAGTGGTGGTGCTGATGGCGTTGGGTGGGGTGGAGGGTGGGCGAGCGCATCAGTGAGTGGGTAAGCCGCCACCAGTGCCTCCACCTCCTCCACGCTGGGCTTGCCTCGCCTCTCACCACCACCCTGCACCGCACTGTCCTGCGCCACACCACCACTCTGCACCGCAGTATCTGCAGTGCCAGACAGCAGGGCATGGGCGGCGACCTCCCAGTGCAGGCGCTGCACCACCGCGCGCACAGCCGGCAGCTCGGGCACCGCCACGCCCAGTGCTGCCCCCTGGGTGAGCAGCGACGACAGCTCAGCCGCACTGGCGCTCGCTGCTGCTGCCGGCACCAGTAGCTCCGGGGGGGGCTTGCCTGCAGGCGCAGCTGGTGCTGATGCAAGGGGTGTGGCGCCTGACTCGGCGGCGATGGGCACTGCAGCCGGGCTGGCTTGGGTGCTCTGTGCTGCAGCTGCTGTGGTCGGTGTGACTGTGGTGGGTGGTGAGAGAAAGGTGGTGGCGGTGTGGAGGGCGTGTGAGGTGGCGGATTGCCAGGCGGCGAGAGAAGAGAGCAGCGAGGCGAGCTGTGGTGCGTGCGGTGGACGCACGGGCAGCGCAACGACCTCTGCAGTCAAGGCCTGTGGCAAACGGCGGATGGAGGGGATGTGAGAAGGACGAGGGTAGGTGGGAAAAGGGGGAGACGGGGGAGAGGGTTGGGTGGGGTGGAGGGGGGGAGGGAAGGAGGGAGGATGAGATGGAGTCAGGTGGACGCAGTCAAGTGTACCGGGGTCGAGCTAAGTGAGAGTTGGACACATATGCAGCTAAAAAACAAACAATTGATACCCGTTTCGACATTTGACGCCCAGCTTTCTTTTCCCAGAGCTGACCAGAGAAAAAGAAGTCAGGCCTACCACATACCTCAATCTCTTCCACAGTCACTCGGGCATCCGCGCCCTCCTGCACCCCCCCTCCCTCGCCCTCCCCTCGCCCTCTCCTCCTCCGCTTCCACCTCCCTCCACTGCCTCTCTCCTTCCCCCCAGCGGGGGTAGCAACACCAGCACCAGTACCAGCAGTGACGGCAGCAGCGGAGCGGCGCACAGCCAGCAGCAGCTGGTCGCCTCGAGCTGCTGCTGCCCTTGCTGACGCCAGCACTGACATCAGGTGAGCATGGCCTGCCAGCGATGCTGGGATGGCCTCCGCCTCCCTGTGCGGGCGAGCGAGGGATGTTTGGGGGGGCGGGGAGGAGGCAGTGGGGGTGGGGGGAAAGGGCAAAAGGGGAGGAAGGGGGGATACAGCGGGAAAAGAAACATTTGCGGAGAGGATGGGTGGGCGAGACAGGATGTGAGAATCCCATAGTTGGGATGAGAGGTGAACTCAAAAGTTGGTATATTGGGGAAAAAGAGCAGTACAGTACAAATAGGGCATGAGGTGAGTGAGCACAGTTAAGGTTCCCCCCCACCATTATTGGCTAACCAATGGGATGGGGGCCCCAGCTCAATAAGTGGGGTTGAACCAATTATTGGAGGAGCAAAACATTGAGGGTTTGGCCACCAATGTTGGCTCCCCAACAATAATCGTTGCTTGGGTTGCGGGACCCCAACCAAAAGTCGGACGTCCTCTTCAATGTGTACACCCATGATTTGGGTGTACACTAATAGGTCTAACCATAAACATGATACAATACAACACAGGGTACGTAGCTAAGTGTCTCACACGGAGGGGGATACGGAAGCACGGAATGCGATGCGAGACGCCTTCATGTGGGCAATTGCGCAGTGGACTGGAGGATTCGCCAACATGATTGCATTCACTGCACCACTACCTTTTTTACAACACCTCGTCTCCCCACGTGTATCACTCACCCTCGCCTCCCCCTCTCACCTGCTCATCGCCTCGCCCTCCTCCAGGCTGCACCCCTCCTGCAGCGCCCTCTGCGCCCTGGCCTGCCAGTCGCTGCCTGCCGCCACCACCGCGTGCACGCGCGCCACCACTGCACTGCCCGTGGGCAGCCTGAGGGTGGGGTGAGTACAGGCCGTGGGAGGGATGGGACGGGAGGGAGAGTAGGGTTGGGAGGAGTGGGACAGGTGCGACGGACAGGGTTGAGTGAGAGGCACGGGAGAGGAAGCAGGTGGAGTGTGTGCTTTTCATGACACACCAAATGACAGACATAAGCAGGCCTGAACCTTCAAGCTGCAAGTTGCGAAGGATCTAGTAGCAAGGCAGGAATGTCTCTCTCTCATTCTCTCCCTTTGCCCCATCTATTTCTCTTGAATCTCCCTCCCTCACTCTCCTGCTCTCAACTATCTCCCTACATCTCCCACTCTCCTTGCTCTCCCACACGCTCACCGCTCCCCCTGCGCCTGCAGCGCCAGCAGCTCGTCCACTGATGCACGGCGCATGAGCGCCCCCTCCGCCGCCTCCTCCCACTGCATGCGCTGCAGCTGCTGCTGCACCTGCTCCATCTCGCCCACTGGCAGAAGGGGGGGAGAGGAGTGTGGGGATTTGTGGGTTGGAAGTGGTTCAGGAAAAAAACGAAATGTGCAGCAACAGCCACAGCGGTGGCAGCAGTTAGGGATGAGCAAGTGGCGAACACGAACGTGTTCGTGTTCGCCCCTACACGAACACCTTCGTTTGCCGAACCGAACACTGTTCGGTTCGGCGAACACTTTGAGCAAAAAATGGTGTTCGCCGTTCGCCTGTGAAGGCGTGTTCGGGCGAACCTCGAACACTGTTCGTGTTCGTCGCGGGCAAATTGCAGCAGCGGCCCGAACACGAACGTGTTCGGGCGAACATCGAACACTGTTCGGCGAACATTTTAAGCCAAAAAAAAATACCTGTTCGGTTCGCCTCGAAAGGTGTTCGTTTTTTTTGCTCAACCCTAGCAGCAGTAGCGGCAGGAGGAGGCGATGGAAGCAGAAAACAGTGATGATGATGCTGTTGTTGTTGACCATGCAGGTGTGACGCTGCTCCTGCTCCTCACACTCCCTCTCCACGGCATTCACCGCCCCACCCTCCACCGCTCCACCCTCCACCGCCCCACCCCCACTCACGAGTGACGTGCATGCGCGTGCCGGCCTCCACCAGCGCTGCCAGCTCCTCCTTCCACCCGCTCTGCCTGCCCGACGCGGGTGTGACAGTGGCGGGTGTGACAGTGGCGGGTGTGACAGTGGCGGGTGTGACAGTGGCAAGTGGGACAGCGGCGGAAGGCGACGGGAGAAGCAGAGTAGCTTGGACAGCGGCAGGGCAAGGGGCAGCAAGAGGGGTGGCGTCAGTGGCAGAAGCTGTGAGCGCAGCAGGGGCTGTGGCAGACGGAGTGGGGATGGATGCAGGGTGGTGGGAAGAGGGAGTGCAGGCAGCAACGGTGGGAGGAGGGGTTGCTGGAGAGGGAGCAGCAGCAGCGGTGGTGCGAGTGACAGGCAGGGGGGTGGCAGGAGCAGGTGTGGTGGGGGGAGCAGAAGGGGGAGAGAGTCTGGAGGGGGGAGGGCTGCCCGGGCCACACTTGCTGCTTGCCACACTAGCTGCTCCTGCATGCCCCTGCCCCTCCTCTTGCCCCTGCCCTTCTTTTTTTCCCTGTTTGTGTGCCTGCTTGCCCCTCCCCCCATCCTTGCCCCCCAGTGCCGCCAGCAGTGCGCGTGCCCTCTCTCCCCAGCGCCGTGCGTCGTCCCGCCGGGCCTGCAGCTGCGCCACCGCTGGCAGCCGCACCGCCACGCCCCTCGCCTCCTGCAGCAACCCGTCCATGTCCTGAGGGGGGAAGGACGGGGGGACGGGGATTGAAGACGCACGGGGGGGGCGCCGGGTGAGCTTGGGTGGGGAACGAGACACAGGCAGGGAGGCGAGGAAGGGGGGAGGAGGTTTGGGCAATGAGGCGAGCGGGAGAGATGCAAGGAGAAGCAGCGCTGACTGGCGGAACAAAAGGCGCGAAAGCAGGACAGGTTGCCGGGAACGAGAGAGCAGCGCGGTGGACATGGCAGTGTGGGGAGGTGACAGCGAGGTGGGGAGGTTGGCAGCGAGGTGGGGAGGTGGCAGCGAGGTGGGGAGGTGGCAGCGAGGTGGGGAGGTGGCAGCGAGGTGGGGTGGTGGCAGCGAGGTGGGCAGGTGGCAGCGAGGTGGGGAGGTGGCAGCGAGGTGGGGAGGTGGCAGCGAGGTGGGGAGGTGGCAGCGAGGTGGGGAGGTGGCAGCGAGGTGGGGAGGTGGCAGCGAGGTGGGGAGGTGGCAGCGAGGTGGGCAGGTGGCAGCGAGGTGGGGAGGTGGCAGCGTGGTGGGGAGGTGGCAGCGAGGTGGGGAGGTGGCAGCGAGGTGGGGAGGTGGCAGCGAGGTGGGCAGGTGGCAGCGAGGTGGGCAGGTGGCAGCGAGGTGGGGAGGTGGCAGCGAGGTGGGGAGGTGGCAGCGAGGTGGGGAGGTGGCAGCGAGGTGGGGAGGTGGCAGCGAGGTGGGCAGGTGGCAGCGAGGTGGGGAGGTGGCAGCGAGGTGGGGAGGTGGCAGCGAGGTGGGGAGGTGGCAGCGAGGTGGGGAGGTGGCAGCGAGGTGGGCAGGTGGCAGCGAGGTGGGCAGGTGGCAGCGAGGTGGGGAGGTGACAGCGAGGTGGGCAGGTGGCAGCGAGGTGGGGAGGTGACAGCGAGGTGGGGAGGTGGCATCGAGGTGGGCAGGTGACAGCGAGGTGGGCAGGTGACAGCGAGGTGGGCAGGTGGCAGCGAGGTGGGCAGGTGGCAGCGAGATGGGCAGGTGACAGCGAGGTGGGCAGGTGGCAGCGAGGTGGGCAGGTGGCAGCGAGGTGGGCAGGTGACAGCGAGGTGGGGAGGTGGCAGCGAGGTGGGGAGGTGGCAGCGAGGTGGGGAGGTGACAGCGAGGTGGGCAGGTGGCAGCGAGGTGGGCAGGTGGCAGCGAGGTGGGCAGGTGGCAGCGAGGTGGGCAGGTGGCAGCGAGGTGGGAGCGAGGTGGGTGTTAAAATATATATTGTGTAGCATGCCAACACATGTGACTGTACACCAATTGTGGTGTACAGTTGGGTTGGGACTACACCCAACTTTGGGTGTAGTCTTGCACTTTGGGGTGCCAATCCACCCAATTGTGGTGGAGCCCCCAAATGCAACCCTCTTGACTTGTGGGTACCTCACTTCCCACAATTGAGGTTACCCCAAGCCAAGTGGGCCTAGGGTTGCCTCACTTCTACAAAGTGTGGGCAACCCAACCCACTTGACCTATGGTTCCCTCACTTCCCCAAGTGAGGTCAACCCAACCTATGGTCACTTTCATCCTTCCCTTCCAACCTTCCCTTCCAACTATGTATGCTAGGTTGTTCCTCTAATCTCATGACTTGTTCAATTTGTTACTTTCACATGGTATAGAGCTACTTGTTCCTAGGCCTTACCTCTCCCTCCCTTCAGTTTTTTTTTTCCCATGGGCCCACCCCACAGCTACAAACCCTTTCCTACGCGTGGCTCAACTAGCCATCACTAGCATACTCTTGCCGCGACCTACGCCGTCGCCGCCGTTCCCCCCCCCCCCCGCCGCGATTACGCCTTCCTCGCCTGCGGATTCCACCGCCGCGAGCGCAACGCCGCTGTCCCCTCCTCCCCCCCGCCGCGACCCCCTGTCGCCGCCTCCCCTTCTCGCCGCCGCGCCTGATTCGGCGCTGCCTGCGCATCCTGCCGCCGCGACACCTCGTCGCCGCCTGCCCGCTGCCCGTCCCTCCGCCGCGACGTCACGTCGCCACGTTCCCGCCGCTGCGCCTGCTACGGCGCCGCCTGCGCATCCTGCCGCCGCGACGCCTCGTCGCCGCCTGCCCGTCCCTCCGCCGCGACGTCTCGTCGCCGCGTTCCCGCCGCCGCGCCTGCTTCGGCGCCGCCTGCGCATCCTGCCGCCGCGACGCCTCGTCACCGCCTGCCCGTCCCTCCGCCGCGACGTCTCGTCGCCGCGTTCCCGCCGCCGCGCCTGCTACGGCGCCGCCTGCGCATCCTGCCGCCGCGACACCTCGTCGCCGCCTGCCCGTCCCTCCGCCGCGACGTCTCGTCGCCGCGTTCCCGCCGCCGCGCCTGCTTCGGCGCCGCCTGCGCATCCCACCGCCGCGACGCCTCGTCGCCGCCTGCCCGTCCCTCCGCCGCGACGTCACGTCGCCGCCTCCCCTTCCCGCCGCCGCGCCTGCTTCGGCGCCGTCTGCCCGTCCCGCCGCCGCGACAGCTCGTCGCCCCCTGCCCGTCCCGCCGCCGCGACCTAACATCGCCGCCTGCGCATTCCGCCGCCGCGACTGCTCGTCGTCACCTCCCCGCCCCCACCACCCCCCCCCCCCCCGCCGCGATTTCGCATTGCCGCCTTCCCACCTCCCCTCCCACCGCCGCACCTGCTTCCGCGTCACCCACGCATCTCGCTGCCCCTTCTGCATCGCAACCCTCCCGCAATTTCCCCCGCCGCAACTGCAACATCGTCGCCCCGCGGTTCCCGTTAACGCCACTGCGCCGCCGCCGCCCTACCGCCGCGACTGCTTCGGCGCCGTCTGCCCATCCTCCACCGCGACCGCGCCATCCCCGCCCACACTTCCTGCCGCCGTGACTACCCCGTCGCCGCCTGCAGATTCAGCCGCAACTGCACCCTCCCTTCCTCCTCTCCCTACTCCTCTCCCCCCCCCCTCCCCCTCCCCCTGCGCCCCTCGTTGCCGCGGCCTGCCTGCCGCCGCCGTCCCTCGTTTCGCCGCCGCGGCCCTTCCGCCGTCGCCTGCGCCCCTCGTCGTCGCGGCCTGCTCGCCGCCGCCGCCCCCGAATTTGCCACCGCCTCCCCTTCCCGCCGCCGCACGTTCGCACAGCCGCCTGCGCCCTTGTCACCGTCGCTCCCTGCACCTTGAACGCCTCTGCCCTCCACCGCTGTCTCCCTCCTTTACCCCCCCCCCCCCCCCCCCCCCCCTCCCTCCTCCTACCAGCGGCAGCAGCAGCGGCAGCAGGGGAAGTGCAGCAGCCTCCGCAGCAGCAACTTCACCCTTGGCCGCCGCGGGTCCACCCGCCGTCGCCCATCATGACTGCTACCCCCCCTGCCCCTCTCCCCCTTCCTCACTGGAGCAGTGTTACTCCTCGCCCCTCCCTTCTCAACACTCCGACCCTCCACTCCTCCCCCCCCCCTTATCTCCGCCTGCTCACCCCCTCCCCCCCTCCCCATCTGCGGCGTTTCCAGCAGCTCCAGCATCAGCAGCAGCAGGACTTCCAGCAGCGGCAGCAACCACAATTTCTCCAGCCGCACCCCCACATCTCCTCCAGCCGCGGCAATCGCAGCAGCAGCAGTTCTTCCAACACCAACAGCAGCCGCAATCTCTCCAGCCTCACCCGCCACAGTTTCTCCATCCCCAGCAGCAGCAGTCCTTCCAGCCGCAGCAGCGGCAGTCCTTCCAGCAGCAGCAGCTGCCACAGTTCCTTCCACCGCAGCAGCAGCAGTCCTTCCTGCAGCAGCAGCAGCCACAGTCTCTTCAGCCGCAGCAGCAGCAGTGCT